TGCGCGCAGGGATTGGGGCCTGACCATTCAGTGCTCCAGATCCGGCATGTAAACCCTAAACCCCAAAGCCTAAGGAAAAAATCATGGTCTGGGGTTTGGGTTGGCAGCCTTTGAAGCCATGTGGTTTCCAGGTTCCTATGTTTAGGGTGTAGGGTTCTGGGTCAAAGGTATAGTCTTTGATCTTTGGGGGAAATCTACGGACCTTCCGTGCAAGTCAACTTCAACTTGAAAGCCCAAACCCAATACCTCATACCCTAACCCCCAAGTCACAGGCTCTCCTCTCCTCGCGCTCCCATCTCGGGTCCCCCTATACCATCAAGGGCTTGGGTGTGGAGGGTTAAGAGTGTGGGGTTTAGGAGTTTAGGGTTTAGGGTTTGGGGGGAAACTAATCCTCAAACCCGAAAGCCCACATCGTCACCTCCCAAAACTCCCTGGCCGGAAGCTCAACTTTTGGTACTTTCCCAAAACAGGAGGACCCCATTCTAGACCCCAATACACAATAATCCTTATGATAGGGAACCTCCAAAAGGATACCCCCTCATTTTGGGAAAGCCCCATTTCTTCTCAGCGACTTGGAGACCAAACGGAAGGCTGCATCTTCCTTGGAAATTAGGGGTATCTCTTGGGGGGGGGTCCCCATAATCACTACTATAACATATTAGGGCCTGTATTGGGGTCACCATCTAGGGCTCAGGCAAAAGAGCAACAATCATAAGGAGGTAGGAAGGATACTGCAAGTCATGGTCTTAGACCTGTGATTTGACAACCAAAAATATGAATAAATGAAAAGTACGGCAGTCCTATCCTCAAACCGGCACCCAGTAAAACGCAACCCATGTGCTCTCAAGAAAAAAAGGAAACATACTGTAAGAAAACAAAAATCAAAACAAACAAAGAAAAATGCTTGCCTGATGGCTTCAAAGCTTCAACTCTCCCAGGAGGAAGGCTCCAAGGGCGTCTGCCTGTCCGGGTAAGAAATTGCAAGTATGCTTCGTGTGTATCTGCTTCCCATGGGAGGGCTAGAAGGTTCCAAGGAATTCCACAACGTGATTTTGAGACATGAGAAATACCTCATTTGCTCCCCAAAATGCTGCGATGCTTCGTTTTAGGATCCCCAGAGCGTGATCCCTATATAATGTTTTGGAAAGGCTCATCTGCTGAGGGCCCAACTAACGGGTTTGATGCTGGGGCTGGTTTGCAGAACTGGCTTTTCTTCAGACGGGTGATCACGAACGACGGTAGCGTACGTGATCACAATGATGTTGTTGATGTTGATGGTGTTGTGATGGTGATGGTGATGATGATGATGGTGATGACGTTTCTTTTGACCAGGACCAGGATGACAAAGATACAAGTAACAGTTGGCAGTATCCTCGGCCGCAGCTTCATCAAAATTGTCGCGGCTAAGTAGGCAATGGGGAAACAAAATGTCGCGTCAGCAACAGCCATGGCATCACAACGTCTCACGTCACCTCTCAACCTTTCAGAAAGCTTGTCCTTTTCCGTCTCTGCCTGGGTTTTCTGACAAGCGGTCCTAGGGATTAGAGGGCCCACCTCCTCCCAAAAAGGTACAGCCCTGCCATTGGAAACAATTGCAAAGATGAAAAGTTAGGAGTCAGGATTCCACAACAAAGTTGGGTGAACACGAGATGGCCGTCTAAGCCTGCCGAGAAACTCGCAGCGCCTTTTGGCATAAAGACTTTAACAGGCTCCGACACGCTAAACCCTCCCATGAACCAACAGCCGTAAACCCTGTTTCACCATGGGCATGAATTGGGTGGAGGCGGTCCTTGAAGAGTTTCGGTGGAAACCCGCACTTTCCAATCTTCAAACGCTTGCGCAGCAGCTTAACTGTTGCTCAGGGTTTTGGGCTTAGGGCTTGCTCAGGAGTAAAGGGGGTGAAGGATCTAGGCCTAGATTTGAAAGTGCAGTTTCAGCATGCATGAGTCCCTATTCAGCTGCCGCTCCTTAGGGAGATGCAGCCGCGTCGCCGCTCCCTGGGCTGCCACTTAAGCGACTCGAAGCAAGTTGTCTTTCTTTCCCAAGACTAGCGCTCCCAAACACTCCCAAAATAAGGAAAGTCCATTTGTTGTGGTTACCATCGTGACGTTGACGCAGTCAGCAACATGATAACAAGGTTGGCATCAATCACAACAGCAATGCTTGGCCCTCCCTGAGTCCATCTTCCTAAACCCTGAACCCGCGACCGTCGACCCCGAGACCTCAACTACCCTCAACTCTGAACCCTAAGCTTTGGGTACTGCCCCCACCCGGTAACGGTCTACATTAGGGGTCCTATTGAGGGCTATGTATAACCATATTATATTTATTATCCAACTGTTACTGAGGGGGGGCAGTACCCAACCTAAGCTCTTAACTCTAAAACCCCAAACCTTTCACCTGAATCTCTTCATGCTAAAAATTCAAATCCATGACCCTCAACAGGAGACGGGCGACGCGCGGTGAAACTTTTTACACAAGCGGGACTGGCAGATTCTTCCGCGGGGTGCTTCAGCTCGATCTTGAGATCTTCTTCGCAATCTCCATATAAACATTATACAGCAAGAATGGAAAATGGAAACTACTACATTACTAAGGGTTATATAGGGATATATAGGGATCATAAAGTAAGAAGGGAAAAGAACATGGAACTACTACACTATTGAGGGTTTCGGGGTTTAAGGATATTGTCCCAAAAATAATGGTGAATCAAATGGAAGAGAAAAAGAATTTGGGAAATGGAAGCTACTGTTTAGGTGCAGAACACGCGATCCAAGACTTGGAGGGTGTAGGGGTGCACTTTTAGGCTTTTTGTTTGTAACAAGTCGTCGATTCAGGGCTTGGGTCTTTATCGGGTTCAGGTTTCAAAGGTTTACCCGCTGCACAAATGCTTGGTCGAGGTTGGCTGTGTCTTACCATTCCCCTCTCCGTCGTCCCACTTTTCTAGACACAAGATCCTTTTTGTTGTGACATGCGCACTGACAAGTCTCGGAATCCAAAACCAAGAAGGACACTATCTGTAGATCTTCCCTAACCAGTTTCCCTGAAAATTCCTAGTTACATACTTTCCGATCTCAACAAACCTTCCTTGATAGGGCCAATGCGAAGCATCCCGCTCTCTAGCAGGAGTGCCCTCTCCCACTTGCATGGCACTAGCTTTGAGGGCAGCAGAGTCGGAAATGGCGTTCTGAATCAACAAAGCCAACAATAATAGCCAAAAACAAGATGACAGCAACAGTAAGAATTAGACAATTAGACCAGCTGTAAGCATACTGGCTGTGAATCAAATCGAGGGTCTTCATTACTCAGTACTGCAGCGAGATTAATCTCAAAGTTTACTGGAATCTAGATATGGCTCCTTCTGACGACTCAATCAAACAGCCATGCAAGATAGAAAGGGCCAAGGTGCTGTGGCTTTGCCACACAAGCGTGTCCCAAATCAAAGGTCTCTGTATAACCCTAAACCCTAAAACCTAGAAATGCTGCGTTCATTTTGGGAGGGTCTCATTCAGGGCACTTTCTCCCGCAACTACAGGGGCAGGGTACGCTATGAACCCAAGCAATAAGACGTTCAGACAGAACAAACCCTAAGCAAGAGTATGAATGCTAGAAGTACTGCCACAGAACTAAGCTATACATGTCTCAGCGTTTCAAGTTTCATTTTTCTTCCTAGCGTGAGACACTTTCCAGAGAGCCCGTGTTGGTCACTCGATTTCGAGACACCCCTATTGGATCTCAGACTTCTAGAAACTGTGCAGTGCGGCCACGGCCGAAGTCTCCCTCAAACCATTTTCAAAATTGTTGTTCTCCCCAGGCTGGCGGACAAGGGGATACATAGGGTTTGGGATTAGAGCTGAGCATTGAGGGTTCAGTTTGTAGTGTTTAGGGCTCGCGCTGCTGCCATCATCATCATCATCATCACCAGCATCACCATGCTTAGTGTAGAGTCTGGCGCGTATTTCCCTACCGTGAAAATACAAGTCCTGCTCGCTCTTCAATTATCGTAACTGACATTGTGGTCTCGTTTTCTTACCAGTACTATGACTTGACAAACTATGGTTGGAGCCGCAGGTGTCCTCAGCTTCCTTATGACTTCTCACTGTCACGCTCACTATTCTTGCTACATTCACGTTTGTCACCACCTAGAAACGAACACTATCCCAAAACCAAAGCTGTTGCTGAAAAGCAGCATCCAGATCTGTACCGGGTAGCCATGTGGGGCATCGTTCCCTTACTTGGAGGGCCCCTAAACCCTAAACCCTAAATAATATATGGTAGTTTCCATTTCTTGTCCATTATAACTAAGTCCACCTCCAGGTACGTAAAAGAATAGCTACCGTTGAGCCAGCTGCCGTTGAGCCAGCACTGCCTTGCTTCTCTCGTGTCCAAATTTCAGCAAATTGCACGTTCCTGTCCGTGCGGGCGGCTGAGGCTACAGTGACGCGCTCCGAGTCCGAACAACCATTCCTAGTATAGGGTCATGGGTGAGAAGAAGAGATTGTTGTGGGGCATTCTACACTATTTCTAGGGCATTCTATGCTATGTGCAAAGAATTATTCCTTGACACTCGTACCGGAAGTGGGAAATTATGTCCAAAAGCTGACGGGAGCTGGAAGTTTGTTTCAATGCGATGTTTCCAAAAATGTTCCAGCAGCAAGAGACGAAAGCACTAGAGGGAAGTGACATAGACAAGTAGTAACGAAATAATGGTAAGCAACATAAAAAAAGTGATAGTCAGACAAGTGCAGCTGCTTCAAAATCATGAACTGTAGGAAGAAGAGCGACAGTCGTCAGAACTGAGAGATTGCTGCGCGCACAGCTGCTCAAGTCACTCACCGCCTACTGACTCGAAACCATGTCCTTAATCCTAAGCCATCTAATAGGAACCCTACCCCATCTACTAGGAACCCTACCACTGAGATCTGAAATCCTAAACCCTAAAACCTAAACCCTGCACCCTGAAGAATCTGTCACCCATCCCAACCGTATGTACCAAATGCTCAGAAGTCGATCGCAAAGAAGATGCGCTTGCTGGCATCCAACATCATCTCCTTGCTGAACTGCAGCTTCCAAGGCGTCACTAGGTGTCGCTACTTAGTAGTGGTTCGGAAGCTTCCATGTCTACAAACTGTCTCAGAAGGTGTCCTCTCTCCATTGGGCCTTATGAAAACTTCCAGGACATTTATCGCAAATCCACAATGCAGCTGCGCAGGAACCCATCTAATCTTGCTTGTAGTGCGAACTCCCCCCTCCAAGCATTGCCCTTCTTGTACAGTTGCCCAACCCGGCCCTCCATTCATACAAGTGAGGGATTTCAATGGTTGTCAACAAGCACTGCTCTTGCCTACACACCAATGTGTTGGCTTCTTGGTGCCTCTTCTTTCAGGAAACCCTGCATGCACCCTGAACCACGTAAGCTATAACCTTTCTATATACTCTAAACGAACTCATCTGAACAGTCTTCCTCCCCAAACCCTAAACCCTCTATCCTGAACCCTAAA